CAATAACCTCTTGTAAGCTCATTGGAAGCCAAACCTATCAAGTAATGTTTTCACATTTGGGAATAGTTTTGATATACACATGGAGGAACTTGCAAACATTTCAGTAAGGGACGATAACACGAGGAGAAAACATACTTGGGACATGATGGGGCATATTTTGGCTGTTGAAACATTTACAAATAAGTTCAAAATGAAAGCAATCTCTGCTTGTGAGAGAGGAATTGGGGCATCTATGCAGGGAATTGAAAGACGACGCGCAGCGGAAAAACTTAAAATTTTAAAACTTTCAATCCCTTGCCCGGATCTACCGATCGCGTTTAAGTCAGGTAGTACGAAGCATTACCTTCGGTGTTCGATTTCCTAGTGACTCAATGATTCGGCCGTTCAGGATGCTTTTGCTTGCCTCCTTTGTCATTCGAAGTCGACAACTCCGGTCGGCTTCCTCTACCGGTATCCACACGAGTAGCCCTCAACCTCGAACGACGTGCTAGCGTCTATGTCCGTCTAGGGTTTTCAAAATCCGTCCTCTCTCCTCACTTTTGGCCGTCCCTTATCTGCTTAGTGCTTTCGCTCTCACTCATAAAACCCTAGCTCCCTAATATCGAATATATAGGATGCTATAGGTATTATGAATGATATTTTAATTTCAAAATTAATCCTAAATTAATTCCGAAATTAATACAATATTAAATATTGCATAATTAGATAAGAGAACAATTAAATAAATACGGTTTATATTAAATCCGTTTCACAAATTTAATTCACCTATTTATCTAATTTAAAAATAAAGATATGACAGAATTAATTTACATAGATCTAATTTATCCTTATAAATTAAATCTAACAATTAATATCTCTTATATTTATATAATATATATATACGAATATATATATACACGTCCACCCTATTTATTCATTGAATCTGGACATCATAACTCGTGTTGGGCTATTTTGTGTGCGACCCTGTAGGCCCATATGAAGTTGGCAGTGGGCCATTAACCATAATGACTCACAAGTCGTAAGTGGTCTCTAGCAAGACATCACGACTACCCAAAACATATGAGGATCATTGAACGATGCAACCTTTCATACAACCATATCACGTCCCTTTTGTCACACGACATTTTGGTCATGGATGAGGCATGGAGAACGTCATCCTCCTATTCATGACCGTTACTTTCTCGATCCCTGAGTAGTCTGAGTATAGAAATGGAACTACCTTTCCATTATAGTATGGCCATACATTTCTCAGACTCACTCATCGAGGGGCCCAGTAATGTCTCTCTACGAATGTGAGGGACAAATTCCATCTTAACCATTCACATTCCTTCGCATGAAAAACCACTAAGCCTGAACATAGTCTTTATGATCACTCGGTCAAAAGTGACTTTTGACTAGGTCAAAGCTAAGCGTTTCTCATGTATGAATCCATGATGATCTCAGGTCAAAGGGTACAGTGACATGGTTTGTATATGAGAGAAGCTTATGACTTAACCCATGCAGCTCTCTCATAGCGGTCGGTCCAACACCTTGTACTCTTACATGTGCCTATGACTTTAATTTATATCTCTATATATATTTAAAGTCATACTGGTCTTATTTCATCTTTGCTCCCACATAGATAACCGACCAGGGACATTTAGGATAAACCATGAGTTATCCAAGGATAGTCATCACAGTAAACATGCAAATAATATGATAACGTAATTAATAAATTCATAAATTAACAATGTTCAAAACATAATGATTGGCCCCTAGGGCACAATTTCCAACCGTCTATGCGACAGAATGTAAAATTGAGAGAATGAGAACGACTCGTGTCAGTGGATAAGAAAGAGAATCTGGCTATCAGCAACCTCAACGAAATACGATTATTGACATTGGACTTTTTGAAGTGTATGAGCCCAACTATGTATCTTTTGCTAATGTTTTTGGTACAATCTGGATCGCTTTCTTAGCTTAATATAATTGTCCTATTATAAAAAAAATATTGGAAATAACATGCCCTGCAAATAAGCTATTTTTTATTTGTATATCTTAAACACAGTTTATGCTTCACTCCAAAAATAAATGCCTAACATTGAGAGTAACATTGATGTAGTTGGGACAGAGGAAGGAAAACTAAGGACGCAGTAAGCAAAACAATTTACTTCTGCAGGATATACTTTGCTCATGCTGTCAACACAGAAAAGAAAAACAATGCTACGGCATCAGATTCCTACTTTTCCAATCTCAATTTACTCACAACACGACTAATCGTGTTTCTGCCTATAAAATGCCATGCCTATAAAAATATCTAAAAGCCGCTTTTAACAAAAAGAAAACAATCAAATCAAGCGAATAACATGACAATTTATTAATACTTCAATAAAACTTTTTCCTATCAATGCCCAATTTTTCTGCTTCACATGCACAAACCAACACCATATTTATGTGTCAAAACTTAGATCTATGTACTGTTTCTTTCCTTTACTTTTGAAGGATATCATGCAGCTCATTATTTGTGGTTATATCCACTGTTTTGCGGGCCAGATTAGTTCACGTTTATATTATTACCTTGATAATAATCTTTTAAAGTAATTACAAGAAAATCCCATAGATTCTCAAAGGCATTTCCTTTATTTTTGTTTCATCTTCATTCCTGTGGCTGTAACATAGTCATCCTTGTATTCTTTTGTGTTTCAGAGAGTTTGTCTTTAGTTAACTTGATACCGATAAATTATAAGCCATGGTCCAGTTCCATTAGTTCAAATCCAATGCCGGTACTTCGCTAACAAAGAAAGAAAATAATGTGCTTTTGAAGCTTTGTTTGGTGTCTCGTGTTGAATTGGTTCCAAGGGCTCAGTGGTCGGGCACGTCGGATCATAAGCATCTGGAGATAATGGTGCAGCAAAAGCCAGTTCCCATAGTATAAGTGGGACAAATTTAAATGGGGCAGGAAATACAGTGAAATACAATAGCTATCTGATAATTGCGGGGAAAGAAGGGGATTTGGCTTAAGTTGCCCTTAGAAAAATTGACCTTGTTCCCATCGCTGTGAAGATAATTTAGTTAACTCTTGCCTGTAACATGATTAGTAAATCATTAGGGGGAACGAAAAATCTATACTTCTATGCATGTTTATATGAAAAATCTCAGATTGAGTAATGGTGCCATATGCATAGAGATCCCTGAATAATTCAATAGACACACATGAAAAGACTTGTACAATCACCCATTGGTCCTTCCATACCGTTCGACGCTCTCAGAAAAAAGGTCAAATTTATCTCAAAGGCCAATAGAAAGACCATTCTCGCAATAATCTCCAAAATTTAAGATTTTTTTGTTGCAAAAATATTTAGAATTTTTTTATTAAAGATAATCCTGTTTAAAGTATTGTTAGACACTAAATATAAGTACCTCCTAGTAGAGATTAGGAACTAACTATCTATTTTTATAAGGGTTAAGTGCACTTTTGACCATGACCTTATTTTTCAGGTACAATTTTACCCCTCATCTTTTTTTGGTGTAATTTTGCTTCTAATCTTTACGTAAAATTTTGCCCATCACGATCAAAATTGCACCCAAAAAAAAAATCAAGGTCAAAATTGCACCGGTAAAAAGATGACGGGTAAAATTGCACTTAAAAAATAAGATTAGGGGTAAAATTGCTCTACTAAAAGATTATGGATAAAATTGCACCTTAAGTCTTTTTATTATCTTTTTAGACTTAGTTGAGTTGGGCTCTCTTAATCTTCAGAAGCTCAAAATTTAAAGTAAAATCAGTCCAATATCTCATGAGGTGGAGATGTATAAAAAAGGGTCCAAAACGAAGTAGGTCTAAGATAATTCAGGTTCCAAGCATGATGTACTAAAAAAAGGGGTGCTATACATTAACCTGTACTAGAAATAGTAATTGTACTATACTACTGGAGAGGAATGAAGACAAAGTAAGAAACGGCTGAGGTGGCATACTGATAGATTGCTCCCCAAGTCTTAATGAACTTAGTAAGGTTGCAAGGCAAAAGAAAACAATAACAAACATGATACTAAAGACTTCATATTCTTGTTCTTTCCTTCACTTTCTTGATAACATTCTTTTTAGTTTTTTTGTTCACTTTAAGAATAAATAATCTTCCGCCGATGCGATAAAGTCCATCTTCATTCTTTTACATTTCAGAAATAAATTGGCTCTGATACCAATGTCAGAAATATTAAATATAAACTAGAAACATGTACTGGGTCGAATCCATGTTTGGATCCACGAGTTAATCTACTGGCTTACGTAGAGTTTAGACTATTAGATCTTAAACTTGAGTGATACAGTAGAGCACCACACAAGAGAGAATATTAGAGAGAGAGAGAGAGGAAAGAGTATGAAAACTTAACTACTAGGATGAGTTGAACTAATAGATGGAGGCTTCTATTTATAGCTTTGGCTAAGGGTATTTTAGGAAGGTAAAATATCCATTAAATCCATCAGTTTGAATTTGAATTTGAATATTCAAATATCTTTTAACTACTAATATTATGAATTTGAATTTAAATCCATAATCAACCTTAATTAGTTCTAAATATATATTCCTAACAATATAAATTAATTTTAACTTATATCGTAACCAATTGGATTTGATTTAAAAATTTTGACTGAGTCAAAATATCATAATATTGCTTAGATATTTGATTAAAATATTCTCTTAATATCCAGTCAAATAATCCGACCCATCAAGAGTAGATCCAAGCCCAATAATCCGTAAGCTAATAGATCAATTTGTGGAGCTCAAGAGGAATAACCTGGGTCCGACACGATATGCATTTTTTGTTTATATGTAATATTTCTGACACCTGGTGAGGTTCATTGTCAGAATTTTGCCATTATTCCTATGGATTTTTGCCTGACCTGCAGCAAATTCTGCTACTCTTTCCTTTATCGTCCTACCCATAGTTCGGCCTACGGCCTCACACTTTAGGGAAGCAGGTGAATATGAGGCAGAGAAGAATGGGACGTGCTGAAACAAAGGTTGAAAAAACTTAAGTTAAAATTTATCGCTAAACATGAGGAATGTTGCGTGTGCAACTACCCATTGTGGAATTCAGTCAAATCAACTCGCACAATTTCCATATAAATTGGGGTCATGTCTTCCAATGGGTTTGCATCAAGCTTGAACTATGTGCCAACATCTCCAGATGAAAGGGTGGTGGTGGGGCCTGGAGGAATTGTGAAGATCCTTCCACGTGTCCATGTTCTAGAAGGAGGGATCGAGATTCTTTTCTTGGCTAGCTAGTAGTCCTTCTACTGTATAATCCAAAGGATATTTTGTTGCCAAGTTTCCAGCCATTTAATGACATATCGTCCTCCAACATTGTTCATGCGCTCGGCATGCCTCTAATGTTTCCCCACTTCCCTTTCAGTCTACAACCTACAATAAAATTAAAATGATTAATATCTGTAAGTTTTCACTCAGAAGTACAAATTTGTTAAAATGTCAATGATCAACATCACTATTTTAAAGGTTACTTTTTAGGAATACTATAACCTGATCCAATTTGTATTAATTTAAGAATCCATCATAGTATGTACTATCTTCTTAAAACATGCAAATAAAATCAGTCAGTCTTCATAATGGATTTTCTCCATTTAACATTCAACAGGATATGGAATTCATGCTGTGTCAATTGGGATCCAACAGCTCACTAACTTCTTGTTCATGATTTTCCACAAGAAAAGAGGAGATTTCATTCATATGAATTGATTGAAGACTGCAAGAGAGTAGACGCACTAGAATTCCTAGGACGAACACAGTCTAATTAGGAAATGTCGATCCTAAATATAAGATTCAGCTTTGTATTAAAAACTAAATTTTATATTTAGGATAGAATGTAGTATTAACCTTTAAATTTCTGAATGGAAGCTTGAGGAGTATGTAGGTAGACTTCCTTGATGAGTAGCTGAGTTCCTTTGTCACCAGATCATTTGAGTGAATCAAAATCATTTTCCCCCATATAACTCAAATAATGTGTCCACCAACCAAGAGGTCATTTTCAAATTCAAAAGGCCTAATGGATATGTCAACAAACCAGAAAACTTCATGATAGATGGTTTCCATTTGATGACATCCAAAAGTACATTCATAAAATGAAATAATTAAATTAATAACCTCTAAAACTTGTAAATGTAAACATATAGTTTATTTTTCATAATTATTTCATTAATATGAAAAATGATAAACCAATGAAACATGAGAAATCAAAACTAGAATCAATCAAGTTCCTAACAAACAAAAAAAACAAGGTTATATTTAAATTGAGTGAAACTAATAAATTCTTTTTTTTTATATTGAAAATCAAAATATAAAATTGTGGGGAAAAAGCTAGCCCTTAACGGGTTGGGTTTGATAGGTGTAAGTTAAAAAAACTCACATCAAAATGAGCTTTCATTTTGCCAACTCAATCTATCACTTTTTGGCAAATTGAGCTCACAAGCCCAACTTATGTTATCGCACCTATTTTCAATTAGTCCCTTCTTTTTCTTTACACTTCATCTGTAATGACTTGACTTTAGGTGATGCATTTCAAAACGTTTCAAAAGGTTGCACTTCACCTAAAGTTTTGGGATGTTTGGAGGTTTGTATCAGCATATTTATACCCTGCTTGTTACAATGAAAGAGTTTCTGATAGAAATAGAAACGAAAATGGGAGATGAAGTGGAAGTGGAATAGGAAGTGGGTTCAAAAGTGTTTGATATGACCATAGAAGTATAATATAATCTTTGATCAATATGTCAATTTTAAATGTGAAAAGGCCAATATACCCTTCTCAAAAAAAATCCAAGCCTCCACCTAAAAAAGACACGGTCACACATCAATCTCCACAAAAACTACCGACGACCACCATTGAAGTTATCGATAGCCACCACCCATCAATAATAACATCACTAAGCAAAATATCAGGATGTAGAACTGCCCATTAACGTAGAGAGACAAACAAATCAAATTAAAAAATGGAGGTAATAGAAATTACAGTGAAAGTCATTGACAAAGGAAGAATGAATGTCGCATAAATCACATTAATTGAATAGGGGAGAATGGAGGCAGCAAAAATCGTAGATCAAAGAAGAAAAGACGCTATCAATAGTTTGCAGTTGGTAAATCACCAGATTGAAGAGAGAAGACACTGTCTTTGTCACAAAAATCGCAGATCAAAGAGCAAGACGTCATTTGCTGTTTCTTGCACCATCGTTCACATGATGTCCTTTGTCATTGCCTGTGCCAGAATCCTCTCACCGTCCTCCTCCTTGTGGAATCTACTTGGTGAGCATCATTGGCCTTGCCATCAACTCAGATCTTCCATCGTTAGATCTCTAGACTTGAGCTTGCAACGGATGTGGACAAGGAAAGAGCAAGGGAGCGACAGAGGAGGAAGAAGAATAAGGGATGGGGGTGATGGAGCTTGGAGCGATAGAGGTAGGTGGTTGATGGGAGGGGGAAGGGCAACATGGTCAGAGCTCTTCAATTCCATGGAACTGAACTGAGTTCTCAACAGGAGCAAGGAATTGCCAGTTCCCAAATTTGATGGAATTGGCACTTCTATGGAAGTGGCTTCAGGCATAACGAACACCTAAATTTTAGGTTCCGATTCCACTTCCACTTCCCACCCCTCCAGTTCCATGCCACCAAACGGGGCATTATATTTGTATCAGTTACTTCTTTACTACATGCAAAGTGTTGTGAGCTTTTATTTGATCTTTCGAATCCATTGACCAATTTCTAGGAAGATCTCGATCGCGACAACCATGTTCGGTTTCTTCCCAGAAGAAATTAATTCAAGGAGAATTTACAAATCCTGGGCTCATGTTTGATTGCTATATCTTAGGCAATCAGCAGCTAGAACAATACAAGCCACTTAAGATAATTAAGGACAATTTGTGTCAATTTTGGTCATACATACGGAAGGCAAATGCTATCGAATTCAAAGACTCCTAACGAACAAACAAAAACTATATGTGCATACTGATTAGTCAAAACTCAGAAGTTACTGCTACTTAATATCATCAAACCACGTGTGAAAGAGGTTTTTGGCGGAACATCTCAAATATGGAAAAAAAATTATAAAACAAATAATTAATTAAAATTGAAGAACTAAATATAAGATTACTAAATTAAATATTTTAAACTTTAAATTTAATACTATACCTTAACTCCTCACGTTACAAGAGACTAACCTTTTTTTCATATTTATTTTTTATTTAATTAGGAATAAATAAATAAAAATTTGAACAAACAAAAACTCTATATCAACTACTTACCCGGCCTTTTAAAGTATTTATTTATTTTTGGTCTGAGCCTTCCGAAGTATTTAAAGAGACAGATTAAAAAGTAATGCTTTCTTTAGAAAATGAAAACAATATTAAATTTTTTAAGGAAATATTTGGCATTTTTAATGTTCATAGGAAGGATACATTTAGAAATGAAAAGAGTAAATACAAAATGTTGAGTACCAATTCTTTAGAAATATTTATTTTGATATTTATTCATAACGCGTGGCAGCATTTCTTCTGAGCTTTTTGCTCCCTTGACTTTTATTCTTCTGGCATTTATTGTTCTTTTTCCGTTTTCATTTTACACACCAAACGGTGCGTTGCAAGTAGAGAAACCGGCGATGGATTTCGTCTGGATTATTGGTAGAAAAAAATAATTTATTTTTAACTGACTTTTAAAATATGATTTGTATTTAGATTGATTTTTATAAAAATTAATCTATAAAATAAAAAATTTATTTGAATTATAATTAAATAAGTAATTTTAATTTGTAGAATAACTAAAATAAATAACTTTTATTAAATAATAAAAAAAGTTATATTTAATGAATAAAACATATTTAAATTAAAAAAACATAGTAATGTGAAAATTTTTAGACCAAATAATATTACATAATTAATTGGTTGATATATTTTGCATAATGTATATAAATATGAAATGACAAATGATATTAAGAATTAAAAATATTATCAAAATCGTTAAAAATTATTTTTATTTAAAAGAATATTAAAAATTAATTGGGAAGCAAAAGAAATATATAGAGAAAAGTATAACGATAAAAATATCTTTTAATTAAATTTTTTTTTTTCAGTTATAAGTAAGTTTTAGATGCATTTGTAATTATGTTTAAAAAAAGTAGCTCAACTCCAAAATTTATAAACTATAGCATCTAATTTTTAATATAAAAACTTATTTAATTTTTATTTTGACCATAAATATAAAATCTTAATTCACTTTATTTTTTATGTCTATCTTTTTTTTCAAAGTATTTTTTGCAATAACAGTACTTTTATCTAATATACTTGATTAGTAAATATATTTTAAAAAAATAATACTATTTATTATAAATAATTAATTTAATTAATTTTTTTAATCTATTTAAATTAATTAACTAATTCTTACGTTAACCATCGAATTATGATGCTGAGCTAATCTTTTCGCTTGCTGAAGCGCCTTAGCAAACAGGCACTGATAGCAGAGGAGGAAAGCCAGACCCTGCGAAATGGGGAATCGGCGGTTCACTCTGGTCGCCACCAGTGATGAAGAGGACGAGTCACCTACTCGTCCACAGCAGCGACGGCAGCAACAACAGCCATCTTCGGTTTCGGAGGAGAACCGGTCGAAGCAGCGTAAGAGGAAGAGGATGAAGCTTCCAGAGGAAGAAGACGAGGAGGAGGAAGAAGCGGATAAGAAAAAGAAGAGAAAGCCAAAGGACAAGGAAGAAGAAGGGTCTATGAGTGCTGACGAAGAAGAGGAACAGCCACAGGAGGACGCCAAGCCCATTGGCGATCCCATTAGGGTTTCAGGAAAAGGAAGAGGGAGGAGGAAGCATTACGATTCCTTCGAGTTCGACGGGAACCAATATACACTTGTATGTTTTACTATTGGCGATCGATTTTATTTTCGCCTTTCCTGATTAATTGTTGGTTGAGCTTTTCGCTTTGGATAAACTTCAGAGCAATCGCTGGGAATCAACTAGTTTCTATTAGATTCTTGGGATTCATGAAACTGACGATGCCGCCCCCGTCTCTTTTTTTTTATGAGAATTTTAAGCTCATATGATTTTGGGTAAAAATACTTAATGAATGAGTTTCCAATTTAGCCACAATGGAATGATGGGGCGGTGGAAACCTCGTTGCAAAATTTGGGTCAAGAAGAGGATTCTCCCATTTGCAACCAAGTGACAATTAATGTATCATGTCATTTTGGTCCTTAACCATGGATGCACCTTAATTTGTAACAGTGCCTCTCTCCATGGTCCATACTACATGTCTACTGTATTTTATGATTGCTATGTCTACTTTATAGCATCTGAATCATAGTGAGAATTATAACGATATATTAGGCATTTTTTGTGCTATTTTCGATTGCTTTAAATGGTCGTTGCTGGTTCTTACTGGAGATTGGATCCTATTATCTTATTTTATAATAATATGTGAAATTTGTTGCATTTTAGTTTTAATACGAACACCATTGCTACTTATTTTCTTTCTCTATAGGAGGATCCTGTACTTCTTGTGCCAGAGGATAAAAACCAAAAGCCATATGTAGCAATTATCAAGGTATTGTCCTGGTTCTTGTCAACTGTTTTTGTCTGTCACAAGTGCTGTAGGGTGCCAAATCTCGTGTCATATAATGATCTTGAGTAGTTTGGTCTCCTTTCTTGTCTACTACAAAAATGGGCTGTCTTCTTTCTCTCTTCCTTTTTTGATGCATGGATTGATCTGCTTTCAGGACATTACACAGTCCTTAAGTGGCAGTATGATGGTGACAGGACAGTGGTTTTATCGCCCTGAAGAAGCCGAAAGAAAAGGTGGTGGAAGCTGGCAATCACGTGATACAAGGGAGCTGTTTTACAGTTTCCACCGTGATGAGGTTCCTGCGGAATCTGTTATGCACAAGTGTGTGGTTCATTTTGTTCCCTTACACAAACAGCTTCCAAATCGTAAACAACATCCTGGGTTTATTGTGCAAAAGGTGTATGATACGGTAGAGAGGAAACTGTGGAAGCTTACCGATAAGGACTATGAGGATAGTAAACAGCAAGAAATTGACTTGCTTGTTCAAAAAACTCTAAAACGTATTGGTGATCTACCCGACCTTGAGCTTGAAGAAGCCCCTGCTGAGCAGGAAGATCAACTGAAAAGTAAAAGGAGTTTTAGGAGAAGGAACATTTCACCTTTGGATGTTTCAAGAGATGAGGAGACAACACCAAAGAGCGAACAACAACTTAAACCGGAAACACCAGGAAGTTGTGTAAATAATACTTCAGAGTATTATCAAATACTAGCAAATTTTAAGGTACTAACAGGAGATTCCCATCGTGATAAATGGTTGGAAAGGCTGCTTCAGAGCATTCAGCATATGTGTAACTCAGATGGAAGTACGCAGAAGGAAGACAAAGCAAAGGAGAATTCTGATGCAATCAACCATGGTAGCAGTAATGGCAGTTCTGCAGTGACAAATGATTGTCAAGACAAGGATCAGAAGGTATTTAGTGAATTTTATGTCATTGGGAACTCCTCTGTGGGGATTTTCACCATTATCATATTTTCCTTGTCCCTCCGGTTCCTTGTAGGTTCCTTCCAAAAGTAAAAGATGGTCCAAATTATAAGATGCCTAGTCAAAAATTTCAAATGAGTTCTTGCAGCTTGAGAAGGCATTTTGAGGTCTCCCTTTAATTAATAAGGGTATAATTTGAACATTGGTGTTATTGAACAATAAAGCAATCTAACAACTTTTCTTCATCAGCAATAAAAATGCAAAAACATCTTATATGAAGGCTGGAAGGAATATTTCTCGATATCTCCATGGGGTTATTTGGATTAATTGTTCCTTTTTGCTGCACTGTGCAGAGTTCGAAGTCTTTTGTTTGGCCAGATGCTGCCGTTCCAGCCATAGTTGCATTGGAAAAAGCTTCACATGATGCTCTTGCCTTGGATTATCAGAAGTATAACCAAAAATTACGGCAATTGAATTATAATCTCAAGGTCTGAAGGTGCCTTCGTGTTTATGATTATCTGAATCTGCATGTTTGTTCATATCACCACATCTGCTGCTGCAATGCTCTTGTGAACATTATGACTAGAGAAACTGATGTGGACATCTGTAGATACGTTTCCCTGAAATTATAGTGATGATTTACTTGCATCTCCATTTACCTTCCTTCTTTTTTTTTTTTTGGCAGAACCATAGATTAGCTCGCCGACTGTTGAACGGAGAGTTGGAACCTTCAAAAATACTGAGTATGTCTCCTAATGAACTGAAGGTATGGTAATTTCCAACCATCTTACCGTAGGACTTTGAAGCTGTTTGTTAATATTTTTTCTTTTCCCAAGGATTTTGTTCTAATAATTGGGAGATTTAACCAAGCAGCTTCTGGTTGTTTCCTTTTATCAGTTAATACTATTGGTTTGACCCTCGTCTGTGATTTTGATAATATTGATATCATCAGGCACTATTTAAGGCTTAATATTTTGTTTTGCACTAAAAATTATTAAGTTTGAATTTTCCCTGGTAGAGTTTTCATATATCAGCTTAAAAAACGCAGAGAATGGAATGATGGGCTAGCTGTTGGTATGTCAATTAGATTCTAGAATGAGATGTTAGAACTTGATTGGTGCAATCATGCAAGTGTCTTGGATCGATTGCAGTAATAAATATCTGGAGTATTGCTAGAGTCAATCATGCAAAGGGGTCATAACTACTATTATAAGTAATTTCAACCAATAGAATTAGTAGGAAAAAGAGATGGATGAATAATAAATTCAATCAAATTAATTATTAATAACATAAATGAAACAGTGATTTAACCCACGCGGACAATGGTAGTAAATTTGGGTTCACCTAATCACGGAGACTTATATTTCTGAGGTTGGACTTCGACGCTTATATGACAGTCATTACATTTATACATTATTAATCTATGAACCTGATAGGTTTTACTTATTTAACCATAATTATCTCATGATTAGTTAACAAGTTAACTAGATTGAGCTTTGGCTTGAATCGCAAGCATCTTGGATTTATGTCGATATTAGGTTTTTTATGTATAGCTTCTTTAGTACTCGATCTATGCTGCACTTCTCAGTACCCTGCGTACATCCTATCCCATGGATAACTATATGATGTTCGACGATAAACAGCTAGCGACGTACTCCTTAAAGATGAATGTAAATTGGAGTCTTGTTCATATATATAAATATTAATCCTATTCAATTGTCACAAAATTAGAATTCAATCAGTCATCCTTGTGGCTGCATCCCTCTTCCTAGGTTGGAGATTTAACGACACAGATAAAAGAAACAAAAAATGAACAATACTAGAATTCCAAAACATCAAATTAAAGGTAAAAGAAAATGAAAAACCGTGGATTGATTGGCATATAAGGCGTGTCTCTGTCATTTTCTCATTCTTTTGTCTTCTCACTTAGCCTTCTCCGGGACATCTTCCCACATAAAAGCTCCAAAAATGGCTCCGGGGTGTGTTTGGCTATCTTCTGGAATCCAAAACCCCCTTTTCACTGGCTTGTTTCCTAAGTTATAGATGTTACTGTTAGGCCAAGTTGCATGAAGTTCCTTTCTTCTCTTTTGGTGCTGCGAATAAGTATGGGCAGGAAAGTATGAAATATTAAAGAAATATACGTATTATAAAATGTTTCTATTGAAGTGTCTAAATCTACTTATCAGAATTCTTCCTATGTCCGTGAGCAAATGGATGCCTGTTTATTCCCCTATTTTGGGCTCTGATTCATAACAGATCTAGGAGAAAAGATGTTTTTGCTTCATGGGCTTCTCCAACCCATTTGCATGTTATGATAACTATTGTAAATTACAAATCTCTTGTAATGAAAATTTGATTATAGAGAAACCAATTATTAGATTGAGTTAAACATGACAGTTAGATATTTCTTTTTCTGAATTTTTTCGTTACAAAATTGGGTGGTCTGAAAAATTGTTTCGCGTCTTATTTGATTAGGATATTTGATATCATGCATTTATGGAACTTGCTCCGTCTAATCCATTTCCTAAAACCTCATTCGCCAAATGACTTTAGCTAGACTTTCATGGCATTTTTCAACTGTTGATTGTATGATTACTTTTGGTTATGATTTTTAGGAGGGTTTGACTGCTGATGAAATAGCCAAGAAGGAGCCAGATGAATCACGGCACATGCAGGTCGCTCTATCCCCCTTCTTCACCCCCTCTCCCAAAAATAAACGCTGTTACTATTATTTTATCTTTCAAATACTGTGAAGAAAGCTGCTGAGCATCAGCTTTTCTAACACTTGACACAGATGACTGATGCCCGCTGCTCAAGATGCATGGAATGTAAGGTGGGAGTGAGGGATATTATCCATGCAGGGCATGGCGACCGTTATCAGGTTTGCACATTTTTTGCTATATACGTGACCACCAAACCCATTATCTCCACTTTTTATGGCCGTGATTTGATTAGGGATCTGCTGTTTCAGCTGGAATGTATTGATTGTGGCAATTCCTGGTATGCCTCCCGAGACGCGGTATCTCTGCTGACTATAGATGGATCGGATTCTACCAGAAGTGTAGGCACCGCACCATGGGCCACTGCCAAATTTGAAAATGTCGAGAAGAAGTTGGTGAGTCCCCGTGAATCTGACAAGTCAGCCAGTGACGTCTTTAAGAAAACAAGTGAAGCATATATGCCTGTTTTGGAAAACCAGAAGTCGTTTGGGAAATCCAGGAAAGATGAGAGTAGAGAACCTGCGAAGCATGCTGATTAGGAAGCTGTTGTAGGCTGTTTAGTTGTTGAAATAGAATACTTTGTGTACAGTTCAGTTCCGGTTTGAATGTGTACGAGTTAGTCGTTGTTGGTCTTGTCTATAGTTCTAACCTCACATAGGAGTTGCCTCGTACAGTCACATGGGCAGATATGATTTAGTTCATGATATAGGGAAGCTATTTGATATGTCTCAAACGTTACGGAGTTAGACCAAGGTTAACACATCCCTCTAGATTTGGTTGTTAAATTTTGTTGCCAACAAGGTTGTTAAATTTTACTAGTTCTTATAGAATTTTTTATTCTAATTTAATTCGGTAGATACGAGATGGATTATAGGCTCTGAATAACTCTTAACAATGTTTCTAGAATTGAGCCTACACATCGACATCGTCTAAAATGCCATCGTCCCCGTCAACCTTGTTTCATTTTTGAAAATAATGTAATGTTTCTTATATTAATTTGCTAAATAATTTTATATTTATAGATTATTTTTGTTGCGATGAAAATGCAATAAGTGTGATGCTCTGAGAAATTAATGTAAACTTCCCCACTAGTATAATGTGGAGTGCCATAATAAATCATGGCCCAAAAGATTGATCAGATCACCAGCTCAACTCAGTGAGGTGGAGGTCACCGACGGTCTTTAGTATCTGTGCTTTTGTCCCGCCAATCTAACCACATGCAACCAATTTATTTATATAAAAAATTAGAAATATTTCGACCTTATTCTTCTTGTCTCCTCTGTCAACCAATTTCGTGCTTCCCATGCTCCTCTTTCTCTCTCTCTTGTTCCCCTCTCGGTCAGTCAGATGCTCGTAACGCTAATACGAACTAATATAATCTACAGTGTTCACCATATTATATTGATATGTTCAATTCTTCTACCTTGTTGTTTTAATCTATAAAAGACAAGACCATCTTTAATGTAAGATGTTCGTGGTTTAAGAAATGTTTGAGTATGCCTCCTTGAAAAGGAGATTTCAAATAGTGAATAAATTCTACAGTGAGGCCCTTTTAGTTTAAAGTTGAAGAAAGTTGTTTGCTTTGGGGAGGGGGGGGGGGAGGGAGGGATCTGAATTGGACGATATCATGGATTCCGGTCTTGGTAACTGCATGTGCCAGTGCCGTTCCCGAAGCTTTAAGATAATGATTTTGTATTAGAAAACTAACCCTCTTTCCTGGTTCCATAGAAGTTAGAACCGCTAGACTTTCCCTCCTAACTCAATCACAAGACCACGCAAACAAAGAAATAGTAGAAGGTAAAAATAGATTTACAACCGCGGGTGAAATATCATTTACCCCGCTCACTCTCCCCCAGCATTGTCAAGTTTGGCCAAACGGGAAACAGTGAAATACAAAGATTCATGGACTGAAAATTAGATTAGGCAAAATTACCAAAACATGAAAACGTTGTTGTGACTTTTGGGCATATCTTTATGCTTTTTAGGGACACAATCATTACCTGTACAAACACTTCCATACAACATAGATTATAGGAACATCATTGTTCGCATTATGCACGTAATGAAATTCATATTTTCTATGCTTATCAAGAAAAAGTTTTTAGATATTTATTAAAATAACGTAGTAAAATTTATTACAATTAAAAAAACGAAGAAATATAATAATACAAAGACGTGTCTTCTAAACAATGATGATTCCATGCAATCACAAGACTCATTTTCAACACAAGTTTTCCTCTCTCCCCGCAGAATTGTTTTGGAATGAAACAGAATCCAATCCCGTATTAAGTATTGTGATGCAACGTATTTGGCTTTTACCTTTATTTTTCTTTAATACTCTCTTTATTTTTAAATATAAGACCAGACAACAAATTTATTTTGATTTTAAATATAAAATCTTAATCTGTTGTCACTCTCAATGTTATAATTTTTTTAAAATAATCCTTATTAGTTGCACATATGAAGAGGGTTTTTATTTCAATACATATTATTTAAAAGAGTATTTAAAGGAAACCAACATAAATTTGTTACAAATCATTAAAATAATAAGTTGTAATTTTTAAATTAATTATCTAACTAGTATATTGAAAAGTGAAGATAATATATCTTATCATGTTATTAAAAATGTGTAAGGATATCATTATGAATTTTAAGAATTTTTCTGTATGAGCACAACCTTGTCGCCATCATGGTCATGAAGAATTTTTACAGGGATGTTACTTCAATTTGACGTGGATCTCATGTATTTTACAACATGTTGAGGTTAATATTGTTGCCACGAGAGCATTTTGATATTTTCACGTATACATTTTGGTCTTCCGATCTTGGAATGATTTTAATTTTCATGAGGGATTGTTTTGTGATTGACGTTGAATTTGGGTCCTTATTTGTAATTGCCACGAAAAGAAACCCACCATTCTTAAGCGTGAAGTAATGAAATTCCATGCTTGCCCTTGTGCCTAGGCGGCATACATGGTCCCTTTGGCGGGTAACTTGTATTTTCACCAGAGGGTGCTTTGACCGGCACTGGGGCCTGCTTGGATCACTGGTCTCGGGGCAGGACAAAAATGAGCCTGAACAAAAATATATAAATATATATACAAATAAACAATAGGAAAAGAGAAGCTCACAGCATATGATAGCTTGAAGAAGGACATGGCGATTTTCTAGTAAACATGTGCAGTTAGCAGTTTCTTGTCTCTTCTTTCTTTAAAAACTAATTTCCGTGTGTCTGTGCAAGAGAGATAGTTCACTCTTTACTCTTCAGCCTATCTGAGTATTTAGTGTATCGGCTTCTAAGACTACTTTTTCTCCACTTATACTGTGCTTGTGCTTTACTGCTACTTCTCTTGCGGTGGTTGAACTTGCTTTTAATCTCTACTTTCTCGTGGTCAATCTGGGAGTTCTGAGTTCCGTATGGGCCAGGATTGAACCTTCTAGCAAATGGGTTAGTTTCATTAATTATTCTCATGGAGACTTTCCCCTCAAGTTTAGATAGCATGATTGTTCGTTGATGCCGCTTGTTGAGATTTTTTTTTTTTTTTCCTTCGCCGAGCTTGCTTCTCCGAGATCTATTCAAGTATGCTCTTTTTCTTTTCCTCCCTGTATTTTTCATTTTCTTCCTGTATATGATTTGGAATCGAACTGTGCTTTATTTTTGTCTTTTTTAATGATTATAACATTTATGCAGCTCAATCGCTGTCGCTTTGCTCAAATTTGGACATCTTTGAAAACATACGCATACGGTGTTCTTTCTTTCTTTCTTTTGATCATTTTAAAAAAAAATTTAAGCGGCAGATGATATATTCTTCTTCGTGCTCGAAATCGAGATTGGTCTTCTAAAGCAATTTCTGCAATCTCTAATTTTGAGATAATTGGTGGGACGCTTCCGCTCAAATGATGGTCATTTCCGAGGTTAATACTATAGCCGTTTCGAAATTCGGTAATTTAGCAGATTGTGGATAAGTGCAATGTAGGTGCTGAGCTGCGTCTCAATCGTAATTAGAAATCCAGTTGTGCACATAGCAATGCATGAATCTGATTGTTCTTCTTTTTTCCTACTCTTTTTCTGTGTTGTTTCATTTTCTGATTTGTGGGTGATTTTCATCTATTCTAAGTATGAGGAAGTCAGCTTAGCGAATGACCCTGAAATACATTGCATTACGATAATGGTGAGAAAATTCGTGGGGGGAAGCATTTCGTACTTGCATGTGGTGTTAATGCCTGTCATTTTCATAAACTAGCTGGAAATTCATACTGATTAAGAAGTTCGGGTTAATATATGTAAGATGAGAGTACTTGTAACGAGCAGATCTAAATTTTGTTAATTAATAACATGATCCTGCACAATATCCAAGTGATTGGGTCTCTTACCATGAACTAATTTTTGTTTTGGCTTTTGTTTTTAATGATGTAGAAGGACTCTGCATTTGTTGATGGGACAAGAGATGAAGTTGGATCTCAATGTGAAGTCTTCAGAGGGTCTGAGTCCCGATACTGTTCTGCTATCTCATCAATATCCTTCGAATGTCAAGAGGAGACATAAAAAAGTTAAACACATTGGAAAAAATGAATTGTGGACCCTCACAGAAGACTTGTCCAAAAACAGGTTTGCTAAATTACGCAGTTCATCATGTAAAAGCAGCCTCTCTAGACCTAGTGGACGGGAGGTTAATGTAGAGATGAGGCGGGGTTCCATGTATCAGAGTTCAGAGGAGCTAAAGTATATAAAAGCAATGAGCACCGGGGAGGGAAGGAAAAAGATAGAAATTTCACGTAGCAGTGACACCTCTTTTTCTGGGAGCATTGTTGATTCTTTATGTAGCTCTGATGATGAAGATCCTAGAAAGAAATCTTCAATGATGTATAAGGAATCAAAAATGAATTCACGGTCTGTTTCCAGATCCTCAGCTCGCTTGGAGTCCCATTCTCCAAATGGCTTTATTGAATTCTGCATAACTTCAGATGTTAGGGATAGATTTTCTACTTCAACTGCAGAAAGAGATTCTATAAATTCAAATGCCAGAAATGATAGTGTTATTGGTTCTCTGGAGAAAGATGCAGTTCATGCATTGGTCAAATCGTTCTCTTCCAAAGTGGAAGCCTTTCACTTGTTATCTCCCTCAAAAAATGACTGCTTGTCAAAAGCCAATTCAAACGTCCAGTCCACCCCTGTCAAGAAAATGTTCAATTCATTCACGAAGTCCAAATCTTTGACAAGTCCAAGGAGCCGTAAGTTGGAAAACAGTGAGGTCAAATCAACTGGTATGGTAAATATAACAAGAAGCAGGACTTACCAGAAATCTCTCCTAAATGACTTCTCTAACACAGAAAAGTATTCCGATATTATTTCTGAGTTTATCAGTAGAGATATCCAGCATTCAGGAATTGCTAGTTCACCAGTCCACCTGCACGGTAGTCTCAAGTTTGAAAACAAACATGGAGTTCCATTTTTTGAGTTCAAGGTGAATTGCCCTGAAGACTTTTTAGTGGCCAAGATGAGGAGAGTAGATAATACTTCCAATTGGGCATATACCTTTCATTCCATTGATGGTAGAAAGAAAAGCAGTGCCATTGGCTTGGGATCCCATGATTGTGACAGGGTTTCCTCAATGGTAGCACAGATGTTAGTTGCCTCTAACTTATGTTCAGAATTTAAAGATGGAGCCTTTGACAACTCTATGGTGACAGAATTTGTGTTGTATGATCTTGCAAACTCAAGACCAAGCGCTTCACTTCAAAAGGATTCTCCCTGTGACCAAGATTCTAAAACCTTGAAACCTTCCCATGTGGGAAGAGAAACATTCGAGCTTGATGAGAAAACTCCTGCAATTAAGAACAAACTTCAAGACAAGCTTTTATTTGGCAGTGTCGATTTCAATGATTCAAAGTCTTATCCTTTGTTGTGCTCAGAATTGCGTCAAAATCTTGAAATTGCAGCCATCGTTTTGCAAATTCCATTTCACAAGAGAGAGAGTTTCAGACACACGAGAAAGAGTAGAGGTGCTAGAGAGCATCGCAACCGAAGTGATCATTCTGAGATAGAACAGAGAAGAAAAGGCCTTCATGAAAGCAGAGGCCCGGAACAGGTGAAGGTGGTCATTCCAAAGGGCAACCATGGTCTACCGATTGATGAAAACCAGGGTCCCTCACGTTTGCTTGATCGGTGGAGACATGGTGGAGGTTGTGACTGCGGTGGGTGGGACATGGCCTGTCCGCTTGTCCTTTTAGGCAACCCTGGTGTTCAATTTTCTGAAGACCGCTCTCTCATGGAGAATTATCAAACACTCGAACTCTTTGTTCAGGTAATGCTGGGTTTCCATATCACTTGTTTCTTGAATGGGGTTTCATAGCTAATTATATTCTCTTGTTATAAGGAACTTGTTTGTGAATAATTTACTGTGGAAAGTTAATCCAGGGCAAAGATCACCTGGGCAATTAAATTCGATTGGGGTTAATAAAGATCCATCTTATAACAAGCACCCATTTGGAGCAATTCTCTAGTTCTATTGTTTTAGGTGAAAAATGAGCGAAAAACTAATGTCGTATGCATCTAGTAATCTACCCAAATCTTTTCAATAGCTTTGTATCTTTTCATTGGAGCTCACTTGATTTTCGTCAATGTTGCAGTTTTAACATGCTTTATTGAATATTGAGATTGCCATTGCCTTTGCCTTTTCTGGTGCTTACCCGAGTTTTTGGTGCATTTACGTAGGGAGCAAAAGAGAGTTGTCCTACTTTTAGCATGAGAGTAGTTGAAGAAGGGCAGTATGCTGTTGATTTTCATGCACAATTATCCACAGTACAAGCATTTGCCATTTGTGTTGCTATTTTACATGGCACCGGTAACTTCCATGGAGCGGGGAGGCAGAAGAAACAAGAGTTGTCGCAATGTAGTTCAATGAAAGTACTTAAAGATGAGGACGGAGGGGAATTTTTGATAGATTCAGTTACTAGAGAGGACAAGACAGCGTCAAAGTCTCCGAAATCAAATCTTCGATCCTACGTGCTAAACCCACCCTTTTCACCTGTCGCCCGAGTATGAAGCATAAAGGGGACTCTTGAGCTATGATGCTCGGATTCTTGGGGCAAATGGGGGGAAAGAAAAGGGACGAATTTGTATCGGATGCATGTTCGATAAATACATGTATGTACTTGTATTTTTTTTGTCTAATATATTTTTTAAAATTTTTTTTAATACTTCGACGTAGCTCCATAGTTTTGAAAGGGAAAAAAAAACGAAAACGAAAAAGAAAACGCTAAAGATCTAGGCTTTAGAGGGTAGAGAAGATTAAGAAAATGGGTTCTGCTTCTGGCAACGTGAAAACCTAGAAGGGATATCCATAGAAGATTAATTAAATGGGCTCTGCTTCTTTTTTTTTTGAGTGCAACGAGAAGATTTTATTGAACAAAACACTCAAGGATACAACTCAAAAAGCAAGAAAACAGGAAAAAAAACAAGAAAACAACAGCGGCAAAAACGTCAAAAGCTTCACAAGGTGGCTAGAGCCTTAAGTCGTACATTGGTCCTGGCTGTGTGTTCGCTCAACGAAAGAACTTCATTGACTAGCCTATGTGCTGGCGTATCTTCCTCACAAAACAATCTTCTGTTTCTTGCTTCCCAGAGCTTCCAACAAAGCAGCCCAAACGTGATGCACCAATTCGAGTTTGAGTTAACGGGTTTTAGGTGGGCTTCCATCCAGTGGTTAAAAGGCCCTCCAAAGAATTGGGGGTGGAACTGGGGGGGAACTATAAGCTTCCAACTATCTTGGGCTAACGGGCATCGTCTTAAAACGTGGTCTAGATCTTCTATTTCATTTTTGCAGACTTCACAAGCTGGATTAAGGGTCATATGGCGCCGAAGACGCTCTCCGTTAGTGAGTAATCTGTTGTTCAAGGCAAGCCAAAGGAAAGTTCTTACACGTTGCGCCCCGGGCCATTTCCAAGCTAGTCTCCAGCGTGAGTCCTTTTCGTTCCAATCTTGTTCAGCAAGAAGTCTATACGCGGATTGGACCGTAAATCTCCCATGGCCTGTTAAATGCCATATGCTCTTGTCAGTATCTCTGTTGTCAGACGGCGGCTCAGTTCCAGCTATTTGCATTAAGGATTCCTCTGGTAATATTTTGTCAAAAAGATTCCAGTTCCAATCACCACCCTCTGTTACAAAAGCTCTCACTGGCTTCTGAAGTTCACCCTCTTCGACAGGAGCGGTCGTTAGATTCTTGAGTGGACCACATCAAAGCGTAAGGGCATCTCCTCTCCTCCCCCCCACCCCCCCCCAAAAAAAAAAAAAGGCCTGAAAAGGGATGCCACTCGTTAAACGTTGGAGGGCAAAAACATTGAGATATCGCCGTTGCCGGGGATCGAACCCGGGTCACCCGCGTGACAGGCGGGAATACTTACCACTATACTACAACGACCTTGTTGACATTGTCTTCCAACAATAAAGTCTCATCCATAAATTTGTTCGCATTTTGCAAGAATCTCAGACCTGCCACACCTGGCATAAAGCGATATTCTCTATGCTGCATCGGTTGGTCTCAAAATATGGTCAACGACGCAGCCATAATGTAGAAATCATTGGTGGGATTTCTGACGGGGTGTCAGTTTTTGTTTGCCCTTATGAACCCGAGGTCTTGGTTTCCTTGCTCAATTAGTCCCAGAAATATACAACTCCATCTCTTATTATAAAATCTTTTTAACTAAATTGTACAGTTTAAAAAATTTGTTAAAATTAGTTAAAAATAATTAATATGTAACAAATGCAATTTTTTTAAATATACTCTTATATATAAATAAGTAGATGTGAGAGAGTAATAGTGAGATAAATAAAAAAAGAGAATGTATTAAATACATTAAACTAGAGGTAAAATAGGTAATTATGCATTAAATATTCCGAAAAATTCAAACAAAATCTTATAAAAAGAGACAAATCTATTTAAAAATTAGATCTTATAATTAGGGATTAAGGATAGAGGAGTATAATTATCAGATTAACTTGCCCCAACCCTTAAAGGTGGGGGGAAAAAAAGCATGTAAAAAAAGTAAGAAAACAGAACTTGATGCTTAAAATGGTTTTGATTTATTTAAGAGTTTAGTATAACTTATGAATCTATTTAAAATAAAAAATGCGTTCAAATCAACTACAAAATGCACATTTGGATCCTACTCCATGCCATATAATGTGCTTGCCTGAAAGTACAGGTTTTTCATATCCACGAAGCTGGAGCTCCTGATACTTTCTTGTATTTTTTCCTTTTCCTAAGTGAAAAAGCTATTCCGTCAAATCATAGTCCACGTGGGAAAGGAAAGAAAAGTAGAATTAAGCTAATCCACATTAGCAAAATCATCAGCTAATAACCCACTGCAACCAAGTGAGGCTTCCCTCGTAACAATGAAGTTACCCTGCGTTCAGCCTCACGGGCCAACCAATCTGTACAAAAAATATACTACTCTTCCGGTTCTTAATATAGGATTAAATTATTGAGTTGGTTTTGGTCCTAAATATAAGACCCATTTCTCATATTTATTAATTTTTTCTAAATTATCCCTATATATATTCTATCAATCATAATCAAGTAGAAGAGGGAGATGGGTTATTAAGAAAAATGATTATGGTGTTTTAAGAAAAATGTGTCACTTTTCTTATAATTAACTAATTTATCTAACTTTCTTAATCTAATCAAATTAGTTAAATAGATCTTATATTAAGGACAGAAAGAGTACTATAATTATCTAATATAAACTTTTCTTGCTCTCTCTTTTCCCCCCGGATCTCATTGAAATGAATGAACATAGATAGGGCAATCGTGGCTATTCGCATACAAAGGAGATTTCTTTAAAATCAAATGTTTTTATATCATGAATTTGAAGTATTCCGTGAAAGAATGTTTCCTTTTTCATTTTTTTTAATAGAAAGGTGCCAAGGCATTTGAGCTAGACAGAAATCAAAGATTACAAGACATAAGCATGGGGCTTGTTAACCATGTCAGCAAACAAAACATTCCCGCACTCAGTATTATTCAGAAACCAATGTAAAATCAGCAACCATCTCATGAACCTAACGAGCTGGCTTGTTAGTACACATGTTAGCCTCTCTAATTACATCCTTATACGCAACAAACCAGTCACACATCAGTAAATCTCTCATTTCATCAATAATGCTGATCAGAGAATGGCTCCTGAGTGTTTCTTTACTATAAAATAACATCAGCTGAGGCGTGCTTGGTCTCAGTAGTATGATATCAAGGGACAGGCATACGGAGAATGCTGCAATGAAGAACCAATGCACACTGGTGATTAATTATCCATGTACGCTTTTGATGTTAGATTATTTCCCTCTTTAGCTAAGATCTAAATAAGTCATCATCCTTTTGAATAGAGCAGCCAGCAGATCGACGAGCCACTTTGGTTTATGAACCATCTTGCTGATCTTGAGAGCGGGTCTGGCATACTTCCCACACAAGCCCTTTACGTGTCAAGAATGGCAATTTTCAATTCCTGCTGATGCATGACGCTTGAGGAACTGTTAACTTGGTATTTTCTGTCATCTCGATTCTTGTTTTCCAAAGTAGAGGGAAGCTACGCTTCCAAAGAAAATAGACTCTTGAAAAATTCATATGAAGCAAAGAACAGAGATCCTTGAGACATGTATATAATTAACCTTGGAGTCAATCCCCTTCAGGCAACCAAGAAAATACAAAATGAGTCAATCGCTTGATAATAGGCATCCTGAAGCTTATTAAGAAAGTCATCTTCTAATTCGAACTCGAATAGAGCTCCTATGACAACATATGACGCCCACTACTGTTCTTTATAACAAATGTTTTCTACCAATATTAATTACAATGAATAGACTCAGCAGAAAATACCTGTATAGTCCCCTCACACCTTCATTATTTCCTATTTTGCAAAGGGCGTGAAACACACTATGATACTGATTTACAGATCCAGGAATCTGCAGCATACTCGCGTCAGATGCATAAAAGGATAAAGACGTTAGTTTTTAGAGTAACATGGCAGTAAAACATCTATGCAGGACGATTAACATAAAGCAGACCCTGGCTAGCTTCATTTTCACCTCATCAATTAACATATAGAACTAATAATCCAAGAAAGAAACATGAAGAACTAGAAGACTAGGCATTTAATGCAAATGTAATTCTGCAACCTCAATAACAGATATTCATAATTAGCTTCTTATGTTCCATCCTAGCTTCCTGAACAGATTACAGTGTTTTCTTTCACCCTAGGTTGATGGCTGCACCAGATCTATAAATCAAGAGCCTCATTAGCCATATAATGCGCTACAGCATACTCATTAAGCAGATATAGGAATTCATACAACGGAAGGTTTTCTCTTTTTTCTTTTTTAAATTACAAACCTGTGTCTGTAATCTTGTCTTGATAACATCAAAAGGGGTGGTGACAAAAGCAGCAGTGGATCCAGCTAATCCTCCACAGAGTAACTGTAAAAGTTGTAGAGTCAACATTTGCATAATCAACAAGCTAACATTCCATCAATTGATCATGGTTAATTAACGTTTGTTAATTTACATGTGCTTCATCTAATCTATCTTCTCAGCTTGGAAATGAAGCATTCAATGAAGTTAGAAAATAATTCTTTACAAGTTCAGGACAAAGCTAGAATCACATTTGTTTGCCACTTTTAAGTACTTTTTTTTTTTTGGGGGGGGGTGAGTAGGGGGCTCCAGATCCGTCATACAAGGGGCAAGGAATGAAATAATGAAGACAAGCTTATCCTTTGTATTCTACGAAAAACAAACACTGCCAAAAGGAGTTGGTTGGGGGCAATAACATAGGAAAAATTATAAATTAAAAAATAAAACTGTAGAGAGAACAAGGAATCTAGACAAACTTACAGTCTGAAATGTGTTAGGCCTTACACTCGACGGCAAAGATGACATAACTTGCTTCAACCTTTCATATACGTAAAACTGCAAACGGTCACACACGATGTCCATAAAAAATTAGTTTCCGAAGAACAGAGATCAGCACTCATAGAAGAACAATTTCATATTTGAGGTTAAACTAATAACTATCATAAGGAGCTGAATGTGTGCCCATGTTATGACCTGAAAATTGACAGCAGTCAAAAATAGAAAACTAATAAATCTCCGAGCACAAGGATATTTGGGGCATGTACTATTTAGCAAGGGCATTAGGGTTATTTCCCATTCACATTTTCATTTCTTTTCCCTTCTTATACCTATCACTTTTGCATGCCAAACATAGCCTAAATTCATAACACAGTCTTCCACCTTTGGATGTACAGGAAACCTATGGTTATATCATATCAGCTGCTGGAAGAAGCATTCACCAACCTTGACGATTGAATGTGGGACATTCCGGCAAAGTACAGCTCCCCAGCCAGCGTATAATGAATAAAAACCACCCTTACTGATAATTTCAACCATTGCAAGCCTGCAACCATGAATTCATGTGATGTATAGTAGTGTAAAATTACGACAATCATCAGGTTCCTGCATGGGCCATGAGAAAAATATTCAACTGCGAAAGTGAAGGTTTTCTATCACAGATCACTGATCAGAATCACTCAATATTATGTCAAGATTTCAGGCAAGCAGAAAGGAATACTAAAATTTACGAGATGTTCAGCGATGGCAAACGTTTAATTCCATTGGTTGAATAGAACCACTAAGAATCGCATCATGAACATCACATACTTGCAAGCACTCATTGAACTGTACAGCTAATACAGACGATGCTAGGAATTCAGCATACCAGCAGTTGCGATAATGAGACCCAACCTGCATCTGCTGCTTTATTCGTTCGCTTGGAGTGAAAATAGAAGAGGTGGCAATGCTTGCACAACCACCCGCCACACAGTGGGCAAAAGAATAATACTCCTGCACATAAATATCATTGAAATCTCATTATCACTAATATGTTGGCATCCATGTTTAACTTTCAGGCTTTTCTCCCCTAGATTGCACCCTATCCAGATATAAAGAAATTAGAGAATAGATCAACACATTACACAAACCAGAAAGAAGAACCAACACATAAGTGACACTACTCATTTGACTTGAGACACAAACAGAGAAGATACCTTTGGGAGATAAGGAAGCAAAGCTGCTTTAACTGATTCATAGGTGAAAGTATACACTGCAGAAATTGGAGCTGAGCATGCAATGCTTGTAGTAATTCCACGATAAAGTCCAGGCAAACCTGACATCAGTCCATGTCACTCTAAGAACAAGCAATCTAATGAAGAACTTAATTTAAAAGAGCAAGTTTTCTAAATGATGCAAGGAAAATAAGCTACGTAGAATTCAAGCAAGCATTTCCCTTCAAATAACCCACCTCTATCTGAAACAATTGATTTGCCAATGTAAAAAATGGACTTCTTTTCAGCACAGCATGACTGAATGACTGTCTTAACAGTGTCAACAGGATGTAGACAAAGGCTGACACATACGCCAGCCAAAGCCCCAGAAAAAGCATGTTCGTGCTTGGCAAGGGATTGATAAGGTTTCTCTTTTGCTGAGACCTCAATTTTGGATTCGTTGTCAGTTACGGTACCTGCGCGGTATGTTTCTTTGGTATTTAACAATTCCTTATCATCAATCCCAAGTTCGCACCCCATAGATGCACTATCACTTATAGCTAATGAATCGGTATGATAATCTGAATACATACTAGGAAACAGAGTCTGAGTAACACCAACAGCTGCTGTATTCTCATGAACAGCTTCAAGAAAGTAGTCTGCAGACAGAGATGTAAATTTTCTCCCATTCAGCATTCCATCACTAGATGATGATAGATCATCAGATATGGTCATATCAGGGCTGCACTGACCATTCCCATTAGCAAATGCAGGGTTGCTTGCATCTATTGAAGTGCAGCCCTCAGCCACTGGAGCAGCAGTTTTTATGTCCTCAGGCTCAGCAACATCGACAGGATACTTTAGCACTTTAGAAGCATTCTTACTCATACACCAATATATACTTCCCAATTTAAATGATATTTCCTCACTCACAATATCCTTTGCTTTCCGAGGCTCATTTGAATTGTTTGTAGAGCTCGGCAAAATTTTCTTAAATAAAGAATGAACATAATCTTGACTTCCATTATAAGATTCTAGCGCAACTATTTTCTGCATCACCTTAGGGAAATTCATGTGTGCTGGCATAGAGGATGAAACAAGGCTAGCGTCCCTCATAGTAACAGCACTGTAATTAGTATCATTTGAACTATATGCCCTTTCAATTTTGTCCTCGCCATAGTTAATCAGAACTTTTCCTTTCCAGAAACATATATCATCTTGATTTACAATTTCCTTCGAGCCGACACATGAAAGTGATTGACTTGCAGAATCCCATATATGTCCTATAGCAGAGATGAACTGAGCCATGCCTAGTATCTCTGGGGACTTAAGGTCAGGATTTTTGTGGCCCTGCTTAGCCTTATCACTGGAAAGAGAGGGTTTATGATTTACACAAGGAAGATCAGCTTCAAAGGATGGAAACCTGTGTTGGTTTCTATTATATTTGATTGAATGCTGATTACTTTTGTGTGAACTATTGTGTTTTGACATATTCTCAAATCTTTTGTTATCTCCTTGAAGCAGGGATCCTGACAAGATCTTGATACAAAAGGCCACTGCCACATGCAACAAATTGCATTGTGAATTGGAAACTAACCAAATACTTAAAACTATAGAATTATCCGTTATTCAACTAAAAGGAAGAAAGCATGAAGACCAGTGGCGTCTGATGATAAAAGAAAAGTATACATCAAAATCAATCATGTTTGGCAACAAGATGGCAACAATGCAATTCAATTGACAAGCAAAATACAGTACCACAAAGATGTCACCTCAGACAAATGCTTCACTGCTACAGAAATATTAAATTTTCTATGTCAAATTAGATTTGAAGGAGCATTAAACAAGAGTACAGTAAATTACATCAAGACTCAAGAGTGATACATGCTATCATAGTCTTGTATCGTCCTATATGTAGAAAAAGAGGTATCCTATAACTCATGGTTAATTAGATTGGTATTTGGACTGAAGGGCATTTTTGTTCCCCCCATTAGATCAATCAACCAAGAGTCAGTCTGAAACAACAGCCACCTGATCATTGTCTATATTACTCATTACATAATCAAGCATGATTTATATATTTGAAAACAGAAAAATGCACAAATTCAGTATATAGCGGTATCTACCTGTCTAATTCTTCCGATCAATGTCATAAGGGAATTAAGGAAATGGAAACCATATCAAATTTCCCTATACAATGGGAACAGATCACGTTATGTGAATGAGGTTCCCTGCATTAAAAACAAGACCAAAGTATGTCACGAGTGGTCCCAAGCAACTTCTTGATCTACTGACTTAATACAGCCACTCTAAGATGAAAAACCATTGCAACCCACTTTATCCAAAAATACGGAGGCTGTGCAACATTACCAAATATGACAGCTTTCATCTGCCAAAGTCAGTGGGAGAAACAGAAATAGAACAGTAACCCCTAAATTTCAATTTTTCAAAGTCTACATCTAGCACGTCTTCCTGATTACGACTTTCAAGCTAAGATTTTTTTATTAAATCCCAGTCTACCAATCAGCAACAGGAAAGCACGAGTCTTCTATAAGACATAAAGAATCGTCCGAATTGCTGCTAATTAAGAAAAAGGACTTGGTGAGTAAAATGGCAACTATCTGCAAAAGAAATTGACGATATCTCATTTTCATTATGTTATACTTTCGAGGGAAAGTGCAACTAGAGCAACAAGCTCCAACGTCGAAACCTTATTTAAAGGCATTCCAGTTACCCTTGAACTACAACAGAAACTGATAAAAAGGGAGATGGCAACGGGAGCTTATTGCGAGCATACAGGCGAACAAGAAATAATTTAGAGAAGTGAAACCTCGTTGTGAACGATAGTTGAGCAGTCATAAGGAGCACCTCTTTGGTTCTGAAACTCATTTTCCCCCAGTGAACTATTCAGTTTGGGATAGAGAGGATTTAAGTGAAAAGGGCGGGGTTACTCCAACTTGCAACCCGGAAAAGAAAAATTAAAAACAGCGCTCTGTCGTTCATTTTCCCTGCGGTAATCGGCAAAG